TTGTTGTGTCCCAGGGGTGTCTCCAGGAGAAAATTATTGTTTTCAGGGTGAGGGCTGTTCTTCTCTGTGACTGGACTTTCCCAGGAATCCGTTCAGGGAATGTGGATATGGGAATCATCAGAATAGTCACGGAGTAGGCGGAAGCACATTCCTTCACGGATAAAGAATTGCAACCTGCCTTTTCAAGATAGCTAGATGATACCTTTTAAGAGGAACTTAACTAGCCCTAAAGGTAGCATTCGAATGTTTCTTCATCGTATTCTGTGTGTGTGTGTGTGGAAAATGCCTTGAAGAAAAGGTGACTCCTGATCATTTCTTTTGGAGAAACACCTTGGCTGTGTGACTTTGTTCAGGTCACTGAAAGGAGGAAAACTTAGCTTCGCCCTGTCTACTCTGGGGGTTTGTGGGTGTGCATACAGACATATGCACGTATTATAGGATAGAGAAAGTATGGTCACTATGCTGAAAGGACATTTTTTGTCTCTTCTACACACACACACACACACACACACACGAACATGCGCGCCCCATCTGAGGCTATGGATAAGGTGAAGTCGTTCAGAAAGTAGACTGAGTGTGCGTATGGAAATTTGGTTTCTGAGGGGGGCTTTAAAAGGGTGTGAGTGAGCCATGTTTGATCAGGGATAATAGTTGTCACTGTGTATTTAATGCCTACTGTGTGCCAGGCACATGAGGAACCATGTCATCATTTAACCTTTACAACAACCCCGGGAGTTGGATATGCCTCCGTTTGGCAAACGAGGAAGCTGGGGCTCAGAGACGTGAACACTGACTAGCCCAGGGTCACACAGCCAGTGAGTGGCAGCGTTGGTTTAGCTCTCTGTCTCTTGCAGAATCTGGCCTCTCACCGGCCTCTGCAGCACAGAGAACAGGGGCGGATGTGTGAGTCAGGGATCCCCAGCTGTTCACAAAGAATGACAAAGTGGTTTCTGAGCCCTTGTGCCTTATTTTGTTTGTTTGTTTTGAGCGCGTGTAGTTTTTGTTTGTCTGTTTTCCCTGGATCACTTAATCTTCAGTCTTTTCTGGTCTGTCTTCCAGTCCTCAGGCCCAGCTCTGTCCCTCCCCAGCCTCGCCTGCTCCACGAAGAACATTCCAGCTCCTGGCCTGCTCCACCCTCTCTTCCCCCACAGCCGCCCCAGGTGCCCAGGCTGCGGCTGCGTTTGCAGGACCCACAGCGAAGGCGATGGGAAGGGGGGCCCTTGCTCAGGAGAGAAGCCTCTCAGACTCCGTTTCCTGCAGCGGGGGGCTCCTGGGCCCTGGCCCTGGCCACCCAGGAGACAGGGCCTGCCCGGGCAGAGCGGCGGCTCCGAGGCCCTCAGGCTGCCTTGTTTCCCCGTTGCCCAGACTCCGAGGCCTGGCCTGTCAGCTCGGGCCTGCTGTGACCTGGGAAGTGACGGGGCGGGGGGAGGGGTGGTTTCAGTCGCTGATGAAAGCCACCGAAACCAGAACCAAACACACAGGAAAAGGAAGAACAAGAAGAGGCGCGAGCTGCCGGGTCGCAGGCGTGATTGGGCTTGTCCCCCAGGTGGGGAGATGGAGACAAAGACAGAAGCATCCCCACAGCAAGCTACAGAGCCTCCGCAGGGCTGCTTGTGCGCGGGGCTCCCAGGCCTGGAATGGTCTGTAGAAACCATGCCTTCGGCTCCCTGAGTTTCAAGCAACAGCCCCTGCCAGAGCGAGCCGTTCACCTCGGTACTCAGGAGGCCTGGTGTGGAGAAGCCTTAACAGTGTAAGCCGAGAGGTAGCACCATCGATTCCTGTCTAGACTAGATTTTTGGAATCCAGGTTCCCAAGATGAAAGGGTGCATTATGAAGACAGGGCATAAATCTACGATGCCAACAAGAACCATATTCACCTTGGATTACTTACGCCTTTTTGCCTGCCTCTGCTCCCTCCCTGTCCCACTGCAATCTACTTTCAAGTTGTGACAGAGTCACTTAATACATCATAGCTATAAGCAGCCAGTCGCATAGATTTCCACTCTGGAGAGGCCGGTGTGCCCCCTCCCCACTCCCTGCAAAGTTTTACCTTTTTACTTCGGGCCTTAATGCCACCACAGATGCTAAGTCAGGGAGCGTGTTAGTCATCAGCGCGTGAAACCTGGCTGGGGAGGGTCACCAAGTGTGTGTTACTAATTTGGCCTCCACCACACCCTTGGTCCCTTGCCCAGCACCTTGTGCGGCGGTTGCTCAAGGATGTGGGAAGCCACTGGAGCAAAGCTACTGACACAGCCCTTTGCAAAACTGCCAACCCAGGCTCCTTGGCAACCGGAGCTCACCATCTGCCCAGTCACCCGGGGAGAGCACGGAGGTCAGTGAACTTCTGCCAGGGCAGATGATTCTGGGTGCTGAAAACCGGCCGTGGAGTTCTGCCCCATGCCGAGAGCCAGTTCTCCCTCTCGCCCAGTCTTGGGTCCAGTGTTCCCAACTGTCTGTGGGACATCTTGCGACTTAAGAGCAAGAGGCTGGGTCAAGCCACATTATCTCTTGAGGCCTCTTTTTCCCCCGTCTTTGTCCTGAGAAGATTGGATTGGAGGAGGCTTCCATATCCTTTCCAGCACAGCGCGATGGGAAAAGAGCGTGTGTGGGCTTTGACATCAGAAATGTCCGTGTCCATTTCCTGGCTCTGCTGTGTGACCACAGGCAGCCCCTGAACCTCTTCCACCCTCAGTTTCCTTGGCTGTAACATGGAGGCAAATAATGCCTATTGGCCCATAGGTGTCATTATTCAGGGTCTACAGCAATGCCGATAACAGCTAACATTTGCTGTCTGCTCCCTAGGAGGCAGGCTCTGCGGTGAGTGCTTTGTACATACTAACTCAGCTCATTCGTCAGAGAACCTCTAGCGAGTGAACCCCAAGGCTGAGAGGGCTTGCATCCTTCCCAAGGCCACGCAGCCATCGGGTACTACGTCCAGGATTTGAACCTGGCAGTCAGACCTTAACCATTACACTCTCTCCAAGAAGAACCTCATAAATGTCAGTTTCTGTTTCTTTTCCTTCCCTCTTTCAGCTCTGCACACTCTTTAATTTGGCGTCCAAAAGTCACATCCACCTGTTCTTCATGTTTTCACAACTATCCTTCTCTTCCCACACAGTCACCTGTGGCTCCTGCCATTCCTCCCAACCCCCTTAACTTCCACATGTAGCAGTGTTCCAGTTAGAGGGAACAGCTTGTATAAATGTCCTGTGGCAGGAGGGAGTATAGAGGGAAGACCAAGAGAGGGAAGAGCACAGTGGCTGCCTCTGGGCAGGCTGAGCTCAGTAAGGTGATGGGGCCCAGACACTCTGGGCTTTGAGGACCACCTGAAGGAGGTTTTTCTGTATGCTAAGAGAAGTGAGAAACTTTATAAGGATCTTAAGCCAAGGAGTGACATGATCCAGGCTATCTTTTTGAAATGCAATTTTCATCCTCCCAGAAACCTTTCCAAGGGCCAGCAGTGCCTTCTTATGCCTCTGAGTCAGAGTTCTCTGCCTCACATTCAAGGCCTCGTCTAGCAGCCAAGTGGGGCGTGTGTCTGGGTTGGGGGTAAGGGGAGGGGCTTTCTGGATGGGCAGGAGGTCTAGGTAGTATGCAAGACCTTTCCATCTGGAAAGTCCACAAGCTTGAGCACCCGGCTCCACCTCCTTCCCCTCCTGATGCACGGCTCCTCACCTGTTCTCCACTCTCAGCTGGCCCCTTCACCTCCTTCCACAAATTTCCAAACTTTCTTTCTTCGCAATTCACCTTTTGAGGTACTTGGAACCCTTCCTGATGAACTCTGGCCTCCATGTTTTCAGAGATCTCTACATCCAAACATGTGATGCTAACGAAGATGTTTCCTGAATACCTACCAAGTGCTGGGGCTGTGCTAGACTCTGAGACACGTAACCCTGCCTTGAAGACGCTCCCAGGCTGGTGTCAGGGGAGGATAAATCGTGTCAGCAGACAACGGTTACAACACAGAGAGGAGGATACACAGTGTGGTGGAGTTCAAGGAGAGGGAGGGACTGCTTCCGCCCTGGGGCTGCATAAAGATCAGCACAGTCAGGTCACGCTGGAAGAGCATTTGAGTCAGGCCTTGTGGGTAGATCTGGATGCTCACGCAGGGGAGGAAGGACAGCCCAGATGCAGCACACAGCAGAGCAAAGGCCAGAGGCAGGACAAGCCCTGTGCAGGCCTAGGGAGCTGTGTGAGAGGGGAGCACGCATGGGCATGGGCTCCCGAGAGACGTGCCTGAAGGGTTGCAGCAGAGTCCCCCAGGGGACGGTCCCATTTCTGCTTCACCCAGAGCTCTCCTCTTGCCTTTGAGCCTTTGAGCTCCTACAAGGCAGAGTCTAGCCATTCCTCCTTCTCTCATAGACAGTGTCGGCTCCTGGAACTGTAATCTGAACAGCACGGATGCTCGGAGATGCTGAGAGAATCTCATAGGCTCTGCCTTTGGGCCCCTCGGGAGGAGGGACTTGGGCCAAGATGTGGTGGCTGGGCCCTGGGATGTCCATGCTCTCTGCCTGTGCGCAGGCGGTTCCCACTCTCTGTGTTCTTCGCATCCATCACTTCCAATTCCCCACCCTCAAGTCCCCACTCAAATGCTACCCTGACCTAGGCCTTCTCAGGATCCTCAGCTGGAAGGCACTGCTTCCTCTTTGGGCCCTGGGAGCTTCCCCAGAACTGTCCTTTGCCTCTTCTGCACCCCTGAAGGCTCCCATCCCCCAGATTAATTGTCCGTGTACTGGCCCTTTCAGCCCTTCAGAGAGAAAAGTACTTAAAGCATCTCTCAGCACCTCTTCCTTCCTGACATCCTCCAAGACCCTAACACAGCGCCGTCACATATTACTTACACAAGAAGTGTGTGCTGCTGAAATGGTAGCTTTCGGAAGAGGCCTGACTCCTCCCTGGGCCCCAGGAGCTGTGTGCCTCTGTGCCGGGGGCGGGGGGTGGGAGGGTGGGGGAAAGGGGGTGAAGTCCTGGGTGGGGTCTGGGACACCTCTGGCATCACCTGGAGCTACACTTATCTGACGCCCTGCCTCCTTGGCAGCTGCCTTCTCTGCCCTCAAGAAATGCCTGAGACTTGATGGCTGAGTGCTGATAAGGGGGGCTGAGGAGGCTCTGCTCACCTGCCTCCTCACACAATGGAACCTGCAGTTTCTGCTCTGAGTCACTCAGGGAGGCACCCGCTCTCCTTGTGTTTTGTTGACCTCTCCCTCACATGCATTAAAAGCAGCAGGAGCCAAAATATATAGCCGCCAGGCAGCTGGGAGAACTCAGCCGGGCTGTGGGAACAAGGTAAGCTCTTTCTCTGTGGGATTTGGGGTATAGGCTTTTTCTCTTTGGGACAGAATTTCCTCACTTCCAATAGATGATTGGAGTCATATGAATCCATCTGTGTCTGATGATTTACAAACACCTCCACTCCTCCTTCACTTCTTGAAATCAGGGCAAGTTATCCATGACCTTATGAGGTATTTCTTGCCCATCTCCATGTGCCCAGTGGTGTCTTAGAGTTTTCAGAGAATTACAGCTCCAACCTGCCATGCAAGCCTCAGCTCCAATTGCATCCCAAATGCCCAGTGCTCAGCCACGTGGAGCTGCCATCTCTGCCCTCACTCTGCCTACACATCCCACTGCCAGCCAATTTTTTACTCACACAGTTCCCTCCACCTGGAATCCCCTTCCACCCACATTTGCTTGTTCATTTCTACTTCTCCTTTAAAGCCCAGCTCCAGATGAGCAGGCACCAGGAAATCCTAACTGTTTCCCTAGTCGGAATTCCTGCCCCTCACCCCCTTGCTCTCATTGTAGACGTCTGTGCCCCTCTTCAAGCCCCAGCCAGTGTCCCTAGCCAATACTCTCTCACACAGGAGGGATATGTCAGTGCTGTGAAGAGGGACACAAATACCCAGAGATCAAGAGACCCAGGTCCTGGTCCCGGCTGAACCTGGAGAAGGGTGGGTGACCTTGGACCCGGGGGTCTTCCTCTTCAGCCTCCCATCTGCAGAACGAGGACTTGCCTCGAGCGGGGTTCCCAGACCTGGTTCTGCGCAGCCCTGTGTGCTGGGGCTCTTGTGCAAAATGCAGATTACTGGGTGTCCTCACCCAACTGATGAAATTAGTCTCTCAGAGAGTGTGGCACAGAGTCTATATTATTCAAAAGCTTCCCGGGCAACTTGTCCTCAGCCCCTCTGGTGCCTGTCTCAGGACCAGGGTTGCAACTGCTGCCCTAGAGGACTCTACGACCCTGTGCTTTCTTGAATGATCAATTTTTTTCTTCATTTGATGCTCCCTGGAATAAACTACATCAAAATCACCTCCTGGAGAACCAGTCTGGTGCTTGAATGGGAAAACCCTGGGTTGTGACTCTGCTTCCATGTCTCTCAAGGAGCTACTAGTTTTTGTAGAAATTTCAGGCAGCTGAAAACACATGACTAGCACCAACCCAGCTGTCTTAGCTCAGGCCGCCATAACAAAACACCACAGACTGGCTGGCTTAAACAACAGACATCTGGTTCTCACAGTTCTGGAGACTGGGGAGTCTGGGTTCAAGGTGCCAACAGATTCACTTCCTGATGAGGGCCCTCTTCCTGCCTTGCAGATGGACACCTTCTTGCTGTGTTCTCACATGGCGGACAGAGAGAGAGCACTGGCATCTCATCCTCTTCTTACAAGGGCACCAGACCTACAGGAGTAGGGGCCCACCCTCACAACCTCATTTAACCTTTGTCATTTCCTCACAGGCCTTGTCTCCAAATACAGTCACATTGGGGGTTAGGGCTTCAACATATGAACGGGGGAGCGGAGGCACAAACATTTTGTCCATAGTACCATCTATGCCTGATGCTTTAGAGGAAGCCACGCTGACCAGTTGAATTCCATTATGTTCCTCCCCATAAGCTCTTGAGAAGTTGCTGCTGCTCCCTCTGCTGCACAAGTAATTCAGCACCTACAATTAGAAAGACAATGGTTGCTTCCTCTCTCCTGGTGGTGCGGGTTCCATTTGGCATCTGGTGTGCCCTCCTGGGATGCTGCTAGGCAAATTTTGGGGTGGTTCTGGCTGTCTGAACACCCCTTGTCGCACTCATTTCTCAAGCAGGATTTCCAACTCTTCTGCCTATTCTGTCAATGCCTCCATTCCCTCTTAACGACGATGTCTTTTCTACCTAAATCAGCTACAGTGAGTTTCTATTGCTTACAACTCAGAACTTTGACTGATACATATATCACATAAGGAACAATGGAAGGGGTGTGAGCATATGGTCTGAAGCAGGAAGTCTTAAGGAGTTGCTCTTTATCTACAGATATCTCTAGGGTTGTCATGTGGAAGAGAAACAGACTGCTTCTGTGTGGCCTCAAAAGGCAAAACTAGACCAACGAGGAAAGCTTTGGGGAGAAATATTTCAACTCAACACAAGGCAGACCCCTCCGAGCTGGTCCTCAGGAACCTGATGCCTATGGACGAAGTGAATTTGCTCCTGGTCACTATTGGGATCAGTGGAGGCTGGACCCTTTTCTCAAGGATGCTGTATAGAAAGGATCTATTCACTAGATAAGGTGCCTCTGCTTTTAACATGTATCTCCATTTTCAATTGCATTTCAGTACAATTCAGGTGCCATTTTAGTAATTAATCTGCCAGAGGAGGAAAGAAAAGGGAAGGGAAAGAAAAGGAGAGAGCCATTTTGTCTCTTGCTTATTAATTTTTTATAATCTTAATTTTCATGATGATAAAAAGAAAAAGTAAACCATGTGCAATGAAGAAATTGTGGCTACTATAGAAAAGTATGAAGTAGGAAATGCATGTCACCTATAGCCCACCACACGTTTTGGGGTATTTATTATCTAGTCTGTTTATGTCAATATATACATAAAATTTTCCGGTAACAATTTTATCAAAATGTAATTAACATGCATACAATTTACCCATTTGGAAGGTACAATTCAATGGTTTTTAGTATATTCACAGAGTTGTGCAACCATCACCACAATCAAATTTAGAACATTTTCCTCACCCCAAAAGAAACCCCCTACTCTTTAGAAGTCATCCTTTATTTCTCCCTTCTGCACCCCACACTAGCTCCAGGAAACCACTAATCTCCTTTCCACCTCTATAGATTTGCCTATTCTTGAATTTTATATAAATAGAATATTATATAAATATAATATGTGGTCTTCTGTGACCAGCTTCTTTCATTAATCATAATATTTTCATGTTTCATCCATGTGACATACATAAGTACTTTATTCATTTTTATCGCTCAAAAATATTCCAATGTATGAGTATGCCACATTTTTTTAATCCATTCTTCAGCTGATGGATATTTGGGTTGTTTCCACTTTTTGCGTATTATAAATAATGCTGCTATGGGTATTTGTGTACAAATTTTTGTATGGACATATTTTTTCATTTCTTTTGCGTAGATACCCAGAAGTAGAATTTTTAGTTCATATGGTAACTCTATGTTTAAACCTTTTGAAGAATTGCCAGACTGTTTTCCAAAGTAGTTGCACCATTTTACATTTCCATCAGCAGTGTGTGAGAATTTTTATTTCTCCACATCCTCACCAACATTTGTTATTATCTGTCTTTTTGATTATAGCCATTCTAGTGGGTGTGAGGAGTATAGCCATCCTCATTGCAGTTTTTATTTGCATTCCATAGATGGCTAATTACACATCTTTTCATGTACCTATTGGCCATTGTATACAATCTTTGGAGAAATATGCAGATCCTTTGTCCTTTTTTTAAATTATGTTATTTATCTTTTTAATTACTGAGTTTTAAGAGTTCTTTATACATTCTAGATACAAATCCCTTATCAGATTTATAGTTTGAAAAAATTTTCTCCCATTCTTTTGGTGTCCTTTCACTTTCTTGATGGTGTCCTTTGAAGAACAAAATATTTTTAATGTTTATGAAGTTCAGCTAACCTATTTTTTCTTTTGTTGCATGTGCTTTTGGTGTCATATGTAAGAAATCATTGCCTAATCCAAGCTCAGAAGATTTACCCCTATGTTTTCTTCTTAGAGTTTTATAGTTTTAGCTTTGCATTCAAATCTTCAATCCAATTTGAGTTAATTTTTCTGTATGGTAGGAGGAATGGGTTTAATTTTATCCATTTGCATATGATATCCAGTTGTATCAGCACCATTTGTGGAAAATATTATTCTTTCTTCTTTGAATTGTTTTGCCACCTGTGTCAAAAATCAATTGACCATAAATGTGAGGATTTATTTCTGGACTCTTAATTCTATTCTGCTGATCTATATGTCTGTCCTTATACCAGTACTATACTGTCTTGATTAGTTTCATAGTAAGCTTTGAAATCAGGAAATGCGAGTTCTCCAATGTTTTTCTTCTTTTTCAAGATTGTCTTGTATATTCTGAGTCCCTCAAATTTCCATATGAATTTTAGGATCAGTTTCCAAAGACTCCAGCTGGGATTTTGATGAAGTGAATTGAATCTGTAGATCAGTTTGGGGAGTATTGTCATCTTAACAATATTAAGTCTTCTGATCCATGAACATGGGATACCTTTCCATTTTTTTAGATCTTAGTTTCTTTCAACAATATCTTTTATAATTTTCAGAGTACAAATTTTGTATTTCTTGTGTTAAATTTATTCCTAAGTATCTTATTATTTTTGACATTGTAAATTAAATTGTGTTTTAGATTTTATTTTGCTAAACTCATTCATTAGTTCTAATAGTTTTTTAGTGCATTTCTTAAAATTTTCTATATACAAAATCATGCCATCTGCAAATAGAGATAGTTTTACTTCTTTATCTCCAATCTCAAAGACTTTATTTTGTTTTCTTGCCTAATTGTCCTGGCTAGAACCTCTAGTATAATGCTAAAAGAAGTGGTAAGAGTACATATCCTTGTCTTCTTCCTGATCTTAGGGGGAAAGCACTAATTCTTTCACCATTAAGTATAATGTTATCTGTGAGTTTTTTGCGGGTAACTTTTATGAAGTCTAGGAAGCTCCCTTCTATTCCTAGTTTGTTGAATGTTTGATCACGAATGGTGGAATGTTAGATTTTGTTGAATGCTTTTTCTGCATCTACTGAAACGATTGTGTATTTTTTTGTTCTTTATTCTATTGATATTGTATACTACATTAATTGCTTTTTGGACTTTAAACCAACTTTGCATTCCTGGGATAAATCCCACCTAGTCATAGCATATAATCCTTTTAACATGTTGCTGGCTTTGATTTGCTAATATTTTATTGAGGACTTCTGTGTCTACATTCACAAGAGATACTGGTCTATAGTTTTCTTTTCTTATAATGTCTTCCTCTGGTGTTGGTATCAGAGTAATACTGGCCTCATAGAATTAGTTGGGATGCATTCCTTCCTTATGTGGGTCTCTTAGGACTGCCATAACAAATAACCACAAATTGGTGGCTTAAAACAACATAAAGTTATTCTCCCACAGTTCTGGAGGCCAGAAGTCTGAAGTCAAGGTGTCAGCAGGGTTGGTTCCTTCGGGAGGCCCCGAGGGAAAATCCGTTCCATGCCTCTCTCCTAGCTTCTGGCAATTCTTGGTGTTCCTTGGCTTATAGATGCATCATTCCAATCTCTGCCTCTTTCTTCAAATGGCCTTCCCCTTTGTGTATCTCTCTGTCTTCTCTTTTCCCATCTCTTATAAAAATTTAGAGACCACCATAAATCCAGGATGATCTCATCTCGAGATCTTTAACTTAATTAGACCTGCAAAGACACTATTTCAAAATAAAGTCACATCCACTAGTTCTGGGGATTAGTACTTGGACATACTTTTGGGAGGCCACTATTCACCTGTCCCATGGACTGCCAGTCCTTGCAAGGTCACTTACTCACTCACTTATCTGCTCACCCCTTCAACGGTTACCCCAAAGATCACAGGAGGAAATGGGAATATAGTAATAAATTGGATAGAGTCCCTGCCCTGAAGAACACCACTGTCTAGTAAGGCATTGGGACACAAATAACTGAAATATAAAGAAGGAGATGGTATTTGGAAGTGAGGGATGACTGGGAGCAGCCCAAACGAGGGCTGGGCTTTCAAAGCAGAGGGTTACATTGTCAGCAAAGGCAGGTGCTAGAAATCAGAGGCGGGTCAGAGATTGCTGCAACTGGGTTTGGCAGGACTGCAGGGGAACGGGTGGGAAGTGTGGGCAAAAGGCCAGAGAAGCTGTCAACCTGAGAACTCAGACTCTGACCATCAGTTCATCTTAGTGTGTGGGCGGGTGGGCGGGTGTTCTGGCTGTGTGCAGAACTCCATATTCATACCTTCAACAGCCTCTAAAACTAGCCTGAAGGTCCAGGACTCCAGGTAGGGATCATCTTGAGCTGATCCTGCAGCTAGAAGATGTGGGCTGACCATGAACCTCCTGTACCTTCATGGGGGAGGCCTCTCTACATGACTCCCCAGAACCAGTCTAGCTCCCCAGTCCAGGCTCATGCTGAAGCCAATTCTGAACATCTTACTTCCTCACCTGGCAAGAAAATCCCTATAGCAAACCAATTCCCAAGCTTCACCTTCTCATGCAAATTTTGCTACAAAATCCTATCATGACAAAGAGAACTGGGCTGCTCCTAGGAGCTCAATGAATGTGGATGGACTGCACAATCTCACTTTTAGAAGTCAGAGTGGCAGCCGTTGGATGGGGGAGTATTGTTGCTCCAGAATCCTGTGACCAGGGTCCTGTTGAAGGGTCCATGCAGGGAGTAGAGTGTGAAAAGTAGGCTCATGCTGGCTAGACCCTGGGGCCCTTGAGATTCTAAGTGACAGACGTGTCACCTCACCCCATTGGACCTTATCCATGGCCTCTCCCCTCTGGCAAGCAAAGGCTGAGGCACAGAGGAAAACAGATTAACATCGTAAAAGCTTCTGGGTCTTCAGCCAAGGAACAGTGAGTCCCAAACAAATTGACACGAAGTTGTTTGAAGGGAAGCATGTCACAGAAGTGTAACAATAAACAGCTGTGTTGGGCCAGCCACACCACTTCTGCCACGGAAGAACAGGCCTAGGAGCCCACCTCCTGGGAGGAGGCCCCTTTAGTGGAACATTTAGACACACCGGAAGAGCACACACTGGTGGGGCCTTCCTCTCTGCAGCATATCTGAGTGAAAAGGAGGTCAGCATGCGCAGCTTCGGAAGCATGAGGTTATGATGTGGAACATGCAGGGACTTCCCTCTCCTAAGCCACGTTTTTCCCAGATTCGAAATGAATGGTATAATATCCTCCGCCCCCTGCCCCTCCTCTTCTTAGAGTGTCCCTTATCTAATTCAGTCTGGCGTCCTCACAGAGCCAGAAAGTGCTCCTGAAACAGGCAGAGAGAGCCTGCGCCCATCCCCCTGCATCAGTACCAGGGGGACAGCAGTTCCTGGAGGTACCGCCCCACACGCCAACAACAGCACGTGCTTTGCCTCTGGAAGAACTGAGAACCACAATGGACTAGAGCCACAAGACTTGACTTCTAGCACCAGCTCTGCCACTAACACAACTGGTGGCTTGGGGAATGTCATTTAGCACCTCTGAATTTTCTCTCTGTAAAGTAATCCGGG